CATTCAAATAACCTTGTGACGCACGTAACAACGGCTTTAAATCAGTCCGCTGCAGCTACGATACCATCATCCCTGTCACAACTGGCGTTCAACTGGCTTTTTCAAAATACTAATTTACAAACTTAGTTAACAGAGTGTATGTCGTATATAGTCCTTATATTTGATAAAAAAACCCACCAGTAAGTCAACAGGAAAATCAACTGGATGTTACATTCCTTTTATCAGCTAGCGGCCATGTATGTGAATATATGCACTGGAAATAAGATTTAAAGACTAATAAAATTAATTTTAAGACCGCATAGACAATAAAACCGAATAAAATATGTCTTGGTATCATCTCTTGTGTATTAGATGATGGAAATGATCTGAAATGTTATAAGGTTAGATTAGGAAGGAGAAACATTAAAGTGTTTTATAATCCTTGGGAACCTGAGCATTAAGATAAAGCAACACAAACATGCATGACATGGTACAGGGAAAATGATGAAACAAATTGAAATACATTTGAATAAAACATTACTGAACAACTTGCCTGTGCACAAGCGGTGCCCAAACATGCTGAACAGTTTTTAGTGTGTTGTAGACTGACGATTACCAAGTACAGCGGAATATCTGCGAAATTTATTGCTCCTTTCAGGGGACATTTTCACAATTCATATTCTAAACTCATTCAAAATACCACACCATTACAGTAGTCCTTGACACTTTAAAATCACTTCAAATGTGCAATCGATTGAACGAGAACGAATATTATATTACCTATGGATTATTCAATCATTGTCTCATTTATCAGCCGCTACGTTTGTGTCGTTTGCATTGAACAAAGAAAGACTTGAGTGTCCTTTTGCAGATTTAGCCTCAAAATGTGCTAATTCGAATTAGGAACGAAAATAATTAACATGAATACATATTATACAGTTAAAAGTTATACATATTTGTTTGTTTTGTTTGTTGTTTAACGCCGAACTCAGCAATGTTCCAGCTATATGACAGCGGTCTGTAAATAATCCAGCCTGGACCAGATAATCCAGTGATTGATATCATGAGCATCGATCTAACCAATTGGGATCGATGACATGTATCAACCAAGTCAGCGAGCCTGACCACCCGATCCCGTTAGTCGCCTTTTACGACAAGCATAGTCGCGTTCTGCGGCAAGTATGGGTTGCTGAAGACCTATTCTACCCCGGAATCTTCACGGGTCAAGTACAAGTACACTGTAAATATATTCACTTTAAAGTCGAGCTGAATGATCAAGGTAAAATGGAACAAAATGAAGAACGAGTGTATAAGTGTATAAGGTAATATACATGTAGGTTTGTTATATAGGATTATAAAACGAATTTCTCATATATTCCTTTCATTTAGAATGTCAAAGGGGGGCACGGGTGGCCCAGTCGTCTAAGGCGCCGCGATTCGCTGTGCAGAGTTGCGTCCCTTGGACACGCCAGAAAACTATGATTGTGGGTTCGAATCCCGGTTCGCCCCGATTATGTTTCTAGGTTTGTCAGCACCATACCCGTGCTCGTGGGTTTCACCGAAGTGGTAAACGTCTGAGACCTGCATCACTTGGGGCTTTCCTCCCACATTAAGCTGACACGCCGCGATATAACTGGAATATTGTTAAAAGCGGCGTTAAACCCAACTCACTCACTCACTAGAATGTCAAAAATTAAATTATGCTTGTGAAGTAGAGCTGACTTGATGGGAGATGTGACCTTAGCCAGCTGAGACTGTACCTGTGAACACGGTTTAACCTTATTGTACCCGTACCTTCACCCTGGGTGTTGTTATAAGGGATAACAGCTTACTGCATTTTTGGTTATACGAGTCGTCTGTCTGACAGGTGAACTCTTCACCGAGGGAACACTGCTCCATTAGTGTCTAAAATGCCCAAAGATGTAGACTCCAGACAATGACAAAGATGTAGACTCCAGACAATGACAAAGATGTAGACTCCAGACAACAATGACCCAAGAATTAATTCACGTGCGTTTGCCTTTCCCCTCGTTCACCTCCGTAATCCTTGATGCCATAGTTCTGAAATTCAGTGACTATGTTGCTGAACAGTAGATGGAATCTGATGGACGTTTTCTGTGGAACCTGTTTGACACCATGGGTTCCAGGACTACTTCCACCGGGAAGAGTGGCACTCTAAGCTGAAAACGTTTGGTAGAAAAAATTAACGATCCCATCGTAAGACCTTTCTCCAAATTCAGGTCGATGGCATGCTGCCAAAAAAGAAAATATCACAACCCGACAAAAGTATGCCCAGTTAAACAATGAACTCACGACCGACAGAAAAAAACTCCAGTTGAGTATGCCGATGCTGTATCTCAAACGTGTTGGCCTGTAAACTTGTTTAAAGATGTATGTAGACCGTAATCATTAAAAATGTTAATTAAATCCATAACCATATTCATTTTTAATAGAAACTGTATCTTCATTTGTTCTTGCACTATATTTTGTCGTGTATTTCATCTGTTTATGTGTAATGTGTATGTTTTTGTTTTTTGTTTAACGCCGCACTCAGCAATATTCTAGCTATATGACGGTTGTCTGTAAATAATCGAGTCTGGACCAGACAATCCAGTGATTGACATCACGAGCATCGATCCACGCAATTGGGATAGATGACATGCATCAACCAAGTCAGAGAGCCTGACCACCCGATCCCGTTAGTCGACTTCTACGACAAGCATAGTCGCCTTTTACGCTAAAATTGACTCGGATGGCTATTTCTGTCATTATCGAGGTGACTGTGCCATCTGTTGATGTGAGTATGGGAAGCAGACCAAAATTCCATGTGAAACCTAGAACCTGTTTCGTCTTGATGGAAAAGTGAACGAGTAAAACTGGTTTTAGAAGAAGAATAGGGGGAAATAACAGAGCGCCTTGGCAGGTGTCAAGCAACTACTCGTTAGGGGTTGTTGGGGGAAGCAGAAGAGATCAGGAATGAGTGAGTATAGTTTTACCCCGCTTTTAGCAATATTCCAGCAATATGACAGCGGGGCACACCAGAAATAGGCTTTGCATGTTGCACCCATGTCGGGAATCGAACTCGGGTCTTCGGCGTGACGATCGAACGCTTTAACCACTATGCTACCCGACTGCTCCATAAGAGATTTGAATCCAGAAGGTGAATGTGCTCAGTTCAACAAAAGACACGGGGCTGTCAAGGCGCCCTGTCAACGGTATGCCTTAACATGCCTGCGAATGCTCCAAATCTCCAGTGGACGTCTTCTCCGTCCCCTAGAAGGTCAGGGGGTTCGTAACAGTCCTCTTGTGGCGCACTGGGTAACTGATCCCCTTCAAGTTAGCATATCCAACCCTGTCTGTTTCGAAGTCAGGAAAACAGATGAAACATGCTAGTGACCATGGTGTGACCGTGTCGACAGTGAACAAGGTGTTGCATTCCCTCTTTCGTGAAGCTGTATTTGTTTGTTCGTTTATTGTTTAAAGCCGCACACAGCAATATTCCAACTACATGACGGTGGTCTGTGAGGTTTCTGGCTTGCCCAAGGGACGCAACTCTGCACAGCGAATCGCAGTGCCAGACGACCGGCCACCCGTGTCCCCATGCACAATTGAGGGATCAGACCCTCTGCTCTATCCACTATTGGTATGAGAGACTTGAGGATCTCCACTCTCAAAGCAGAACCTCTACCCACTATTGGCTTGATCCTGACCTGGGGCTCTAGCCACCGACCCTCTGCTATCAAGGCAGACACTATCCACTATTGGCAGACCTGACCTGGGGTTCAAGCCACTGACCCTCTGCTGTCAAGGCAGACACTATCCACTATTGGCACAACCTGACCTGGGGTTCAAGCCACTGACCCTCTGCTGTCAAGGCAGACACTATCCACTATTGGCACGACCTGACCTGGGGTTCTAGCCACCGACCCTCTGCTGTCAAGGCAGACACTATCCACTATTGGCACAACCTGACCTGGGGTTCTAGCCACCGACCCTCTGCTGTCAAGGCAGACACTATCCACTATTGGCACAACCTGATCTGGGGTTCAAGCCACCGACCCTCTGCTGTCAAGGCAGACACTATCCACTATTGGCACGACCTGACCTGGGGTTCTAGCCACCGACCCTCTGCTGTCAAGGCAGACACTATCCACTATTGGCACGACCTGACCTGGGGTTCAAGCCACTGACCCTCTGCTGTCAAGGCAGACACTATCCACTATTGGCACAACCTGACCTGGGGTTCAAGCCACCGACCCTCTGCTGTCAAGGCAGACACTATCCACTATTGGCACGACCTGATCTGGGGTTCTAGCCATCGACCCTCTGCTGTCAAGGCAGACACTATCCACTACACCACAAAGGTGGTGACTTGTAGTTTATTGTACCATCAGTTTGCAGTAAACTATAGGAAACGTTTAAAAGAATATTTACACTTAATGCAGCAAAATGTATTAAATGTCAACAGCTGTATGTATGTAATGCCTTGTTTTATGTTTGACAAGTCACCTTAAAATTGATTTAAAATGTTTGTACAATGGAATATTTACAATATAATTGTAACAAACCACATTCCTGTTTGTAGTATGTGAACATGTAACTAAAGTCATCTCGTGTATTCCAGTGCTTGCGTTGAAGTTATGACATGTGCTGTCCACATTCCTCACACACCCCTCCTCCAGGTGAACCATGAAGATCCAGGGTAGAATAGGTCTTCAGCAGCCCATGCTTGCCATAAAGGCGACTATGTTTGTCATTAGAGGCGACTAATGGGATCAGGTGGTCAGGCTCGCTGACTTGGTTGATGCATGTCATCGTTCCTAATTGCGTGGATCGATGCTCATGATGTCAATCACTGGATTGCCTGGTCCCGACTCTATTATTTACAGACCGCCATCATATAGCTGGAATATTGCTGAGTGCTGTGTTAAACAACAAACAAACAAAACATACCCTAGGTACTGTAACGCAGGCAGTAACTCCCAAGGAATCTGCTGACTCGACAAACACTATCCAAGAACTAAGCATATAGAGCAGTTTATTCGAGTCCACTCACAGTGCATACAAATACATAAGAAACAGATTTCTCTCTTATGTACAATATTTCAACAACAGCGCACGGAGTGACAGACTTCCAGGAGTATTTACAAAAAGACTGACATATACAAGACAAATTGATCATTTTTATTTCCCTACAATCATCGTTAACCATAAATAAGCACTTTGGCGATTAAATGCATTCCCATGTTAACTATCAATTCAATTAACAGGGCAGATAAAACAGGTTAACCAACTTGTAGACTTATTCTGACAAAAAGTCTTGCACATATTGTATACCTTAAAAGAAATATGGAATCAAACCTGGGGCTTTAGCGTGACGAGCTAACGCTTTAACCACCAGGCTACCCTTTCTCACAATGTAAACTCATGTTGAACACTTCTGACACCATACTCACTCCTAGACACGAATTTCTGGCCGAGTCCTAGTCAAGTCCAAGTTGACATCCCTGTTTACAACAGAGCAGTGTTCTTGTGTAACGGACACTACAAAAATGGGCTGTCACTGTACCTACAAGTAGACTCAACCCCAGTTCTACACGTTGGGTCAATGCAGGGACAAGTGGGCCCCCTTTGTCTCTCCCAGGAAAACAGTAGTGTTCGAAGTTAAGGGGAGTCGCTGGGTTTGCTGCTGCAGTAATTGAATCTTGGATCCCCAACCATCTTCAATATTTAACATTAGCATTATGAAAAGGACCCCACGATATTCAGTCTTTGTTTCGAACAATGTTAGTACAGACACTTAATGACATGTGGGATACAACTAGCTCAGCTGCTGGGTGATTTCCTGTTTCTTCACCTGATCAATGACAGTTATATGGTCCTGCTTACCGGGCAAACATGGCTTCACAAATAGTCCTACCATCATACAAGCAATCTATTACACATGCTTCTTGATGAAAGTCACTTAATTATAATGCATTTTAAGCATCGAATCATGTAAGTTGCTTTAGTTTTATGAATCATTAAAATAAGTGACAGATGTGGCATGGTTATTCCTACTTCAGATCCAAGCATGGACACATCTAAATACCCAGACTTTTACCAGCTGTACATGTTTCCGTCAACAGGCAGCCAAAGAGAGAGTTGATGCTGGATGCTGTTTCTGAATATATGCTTGTCTGTCTTTGACTTAACCTCCATCAGATCTACAAACTGCCCATTGTGGTCAGCTGATGCAGTTCCCAATGCTGTCTTAAGTCTATTACTGTGAGTGCATGTTAAGTTAGACTCTGTTTCTTCACTAGTTTCCCGAGATGACAACCACCTTCAGCTGTTTCCCCAGTAAACTCTCATGACAGATATTCAACATGCATGATGACTTTTTTTCTCATGTTAACATTTACACAAATATGTGTGAAGAGTGGACAGATATGAGATAATTTATGTTCTATGTACAAAGAGGCTGAAAATATGGCCCACGTTTCCCCACACAGAGTATATATACAAGAACATTCATCGCTTTCTCTCTCCCACAAATGATAGAAGAAAACTTGGCTGCTGACCACCTGACACCATGGAAACAAGACCTCCTTCACTTTATCCACATCCCGTACGTCTCCAAGAATATTCTTCTGTTCTCTTCTCATGGGATGTGACGCCAGCTTAACACCATGTTACGTGGATGGTTCACAGAGATACACCCTGATGTTACGTGGATGTTATACAAGTTCTTTTAGCAGAGTAATACGGATGTAACAACCATTCGACCTGATGATAGATGGAGTAGCATACTGATATTACATCCAATGTTTGCCTGGGATGGTATACTAGCCGTATTCCACCGTAACTTTACATGGGGCACTTGTTTAACATCCAGGTGACAGACAGGGTGGTATAGCTTAAATACGATGTTCTGGAATCTGATGTTGGATGGGTGTTACATTGGGTGTAACATCCTGCTGCTACCTCGGTGTCTTTATTCCTGGCACGGCTTCCAAGCTATTATATTTTTCTCACAAGTCCACAGCCTTAATATGTCTTCATAACAGAGTTTAAGTTAACAAATGTCATATTCTATTGGTATGTTCCTATTACACTATCTCATACTTGTCCACGTAGAAGAGAACCTCGTCGGAGAACTTGACTGGTTGATCATCCTCCACAAACCTCACATCCTTGATCTGAAGTAAAAGAAAAACATTATCAGTGAGTGAGTGAGTGAGTGAGTGAGTGAGTGAGTGAGTGAGTGAGTGAGTGAGTGAGTGAGTGAGTGAGTGAGTGAGTGAGTGAGTGAGTGAGTGAGTTGGGTTTAACGCCGCTTTTAACAGTATTCCAGTTATATCAAGGTGTGTCAGCTTAATGTGGGAGGAAAGCCCGAAGTGATGCAGGTCTCAGACGTTTACTACTTCGGTGAAACCCACGAGCACGGGTATGGTATGACAAACCTAGAAACATCGGGACGAACCGGGATTCGAATCCACAATCATAGGTTTCTGGCCTGCCCATGGGACACAACTCTGCACATCGAATTGCGGCACCTTAGACGCTAAAGGAAAGTCACAGTATGCAAATATTTATCACTTTAGTGGAACCAAGAGCATTTGTATAATGCTGACCTCAATACTAAGAGTGAGTGAGTGGGTATGGTTTTACGCCGCTTTTAGCAATATTCCAGCAATATCACGGCGGGGGACACCAGAAATGGGCTTCACACATTGTACCCATGTCGGGAATCGAACCCGGGTCTTCGGCATGGCGAGCGAACTCTTTAACCACTAGGCTACCCGACCGCCCCCTCAATACTAAGAGAATTGGGATGTTGGGTGAAGCTTCTTTCTACAACTATGTCCACTTATTAACAGATAAGTATACAAAATATACTGGTATCTCCGATACATAGGCAGTTTGTTTATCTTGATAAAATGTGGAGCAAAGCTGTTGTTCATGACGGAACTATTTTTTTCCGACTAAACTTTCAATGAGAAGTGGAAATGGGAAAGTTCCTCACCTGAATATCACAATAAGATTTCTTGGAGACAAAGGAAACATTGACAGGGAAAAAGTCGTCTGGATGGCCCGCTATGGAGAACTCGAGGCTGCCGGACTTGTTGGAGGCGTCGATGACAGGCATGGTCCACTTCAGCAGGTGGGCGCGGGAATCATACTGGTAGTCGCCGTCACAGTCGCCCACCACAGGGGAACCCACACCAGATCTGCAACAATACACTATCACTTGTAACTGAGGCATTTTACCTGATTGACTCTGTATTGAGAGGTGAAGGTCAGGGACAAGCCATCTTAAAACTGGAATATATTTTTACTCAAAAAGATATGTCTTCCGCCATTGTTTGTTTTAGTTCATGTTTTCACTGTAAATGTGTTTGCAAGTCCGAAAAACAATACTAGCAAATTATAGCCTGGAAAGATAATGGTTTCAAGCAGAAATATTCATTAACTGCAGTTTGGGTGGGAAACAAATGCTACTTGTTTGAGACTTAGTCCAAATCTAAAAGTATGAAAAGGCAATAGTTGAGCATGTGGTCATTGCACATGTATATTTTTATGCAAATATATTCATCAGTTTGTGAGTGATTGAGATTAAGTCCAAATACTTTCCATGGAAATGTAACAAAATGTAGAAGAATTCAAAATATCTAAAGGCACGAGTAAACCTGATGAGCAATGCATATCCCAATTTTCGTTGAAATATGTTGAACGGTTTTTAAGTTATGGCCTGGAAATGAAATCAAGACTCGCTTGAGACTAAGTCGAAATTGTTTCCATAGAAACCTAAAAAAATAAAATTTTGAAATATTTCAAAACACTAGAAGGCACTAGTTAAGCTGATGACCAATGCCAGTGTGAAGATTCATAGGAAAATATTGAAGGCTTTTCAAGTTATGGCCTGGAAAAGAACCCTACCCTCGCTTGAGACCAAGAATCACACACAGTCACTACCTGTCCCGCACTACACATGATAAACACATGGTCAAAATGTCAAAGTCAGTTTTCACGACGTGCATGTGTGTATGTGCAATACTTGTCGAACATTCAAAAGGAGAGGCTATCAATCACAGATACTCACGGACAAGGTATAGATATAAGAACATCTTCAAGTTCAAGTTCTGTTCTCTCCAACTCAAACTCAATATTCACATCACAGCCACTGCCCGTCTCTGATGGCCAGCAGTTGACTGAAACACAAACACAGCCTGTCAGCAAACACCTTGTGGAGAGATGTACACATAACAAACAAATAACAGACAAATATTGATACATGCTGAACTTATTGTGTCATATCAATCACATCTTCCCAAGGCAAGGGAGTTAACTGACTGTAAAAGTCCAGTTTCCACCCTTGCTGAATTACGCCAGAATTTCTGGGTTCAATCATAGAGCCACCAGTGGCTATTAGGAGATATGTCCCTTCTTTGGCCCTCCTATTGATCAAACAGATTCTGGCCCTCATACCACTCAAACAAAATAGTGGCGCCCAGTGAAGATAATCAGTATCCATATTGTAATAAAACGGGTCTTACTTTGCAAAGTGCCTCAAATCACATGAGCACCTTGATTAAAAACATGTAAAGATTTGGATAATATCTGTTGACATAAGTTGACGGTACACATGCTTTGCAAATCCTGTAATCGACATAAATCTACAAGGCACTTCGCGAACTGGATGTTGACTTCATTAAACGATTTTGATTTGAGTCATTAGTCCAGCCAAAATGTTACTCCATAATTCCAGCCTAGTTCAGAAAGGTGGAAACTGGACTTTTAGTCAGTTAACTCCCTTGCCTTGGGAAGATGTATCAATCATAATATGACAGTGCAGTTTTTGTTTAACACCACACTATTTCAGCCATATGACAGCGGTTTGTAAAGAAACAAATCTGGACCACACAATCCAGTGACTGACATCATGAACATCGATCCACGCAATTGGGAAACGATGACATGCATCAACAAAGTCAGAGAGCCTGACTACCTGATCCCATTAGTCGCCTTTAATGAAAAGCATAGTCACCTTTCAATGACAAGCACGGGTTGCTGAGGACCTATTCTTTGGCATGACAAGCCAACGCTTTAACCACAAGGCAACCCACAACCCCACTGGTGTCACTCACTTGACAAGGGCATGAGAGACTCGTCCTGGGTCTGCAGCCGCCACTTCAGCACCCCGATGTCTGTGTTGAGTGGGAACGGTTTGTCCGGGTTCTTCAGCCCAATATTGGAGGATGCCAGAAACATCTTCTTGTCTATGTTCGGGTGGGTCTGTGAACAAATAATACAGGTAAAAACAACACTGGAAAAAGGAGCAAGTTTGCCTTTGAAAAGGATTTCAGTTGTATCTGTGCATGTCAATGTCTGAGAAAGATCAAGGGGAGGCAATCTGAGTTTTCCATTTCAATGAAGTCATGATTATGGGCCACGGGTAATTATCAGCAGAAATCTTGGATTTTGACATGCAATTATCAGAGGTTAGGGACAAAACTTGGTACTTTCAGTGCAATGGCGCGGCTGTGTCGCCTGACAATTAAATGACAAATGCACAGATTCTGTTGCTCAGACAGGTACGTTTCATAAAGGGAAATACTTGTAACCAAAGCCTATACACCAGTGATACTTGTACACTATTTGAAATTTTGTTGCAACACAATGTTCTACTATGTAGCTTTCTGCAAATGTTGTCACTAGTTGTACACTCCTCTCTCTCTATTGTCTTTTCCCATAACTGTCTTGTCCATCTAATCACCTTTCAGGCTGCTTTAAACTACACGCAAGGACTGCTCAGAAACAGTCTTCAGTGTCCCTGGCTTACAACAATACACACCTGCATCTGAACACCTTTGTCGTCATTGTTCGCCAAAAAGATTTTGACGCGCCCATTTTTTTCATCAGTAATCTTGAGTTTGATCATGCCTAGAACTTCCATGTTCTGCAAGCCTCCATCTCGACCGGCCGTCACAGAGACCTTCTCCTCAACCACTATGTGGACACTGAAACGGAGATGGTTGGTTGGTTGGTTGGTTTGTTGTTTAACGCCGCACTCAGTAATATTCCAGCTATATGACAGCGGTCTGTAAATAATCGAGTCTGGACCAGACAATCCAGTGATTAATATCATGAGCATCGATCCACGCAATTGGGATTGATGACATGCATCAACCAAGTCAGCGAGCCTGACCACCCGATCCAGTTAGTCGCCTTTCGTAAAAGGCGACTAGCAGGATCGTGTGGTCAAAATAGCCGTCATATAGCTGGAATATTGCTGAGTGTGGCGTTAAACAACAAACAAAAAACAAACTCACGATGAAGCATAGAAAGGTAAGCTATGGTTGATAACATGGTGAAAGACGATCGATACTTTCAGGGTAATATGATATGATGTACTGACTAACAGCTATCAGAATTAACCATGTAAGCCAATGGTTCCTTGTTGTAATTATTAATTTTTAATGTTTGGGACATAGGGACCCTAGATACAAATACCAAGGGAGCAAACCGCAAAGACCTTAAATGATCAGACATTATAACATCCCATTCTTATAATAGCTGGGATCATCGCATACCGGAGGCATATTCTCCATTGGAATCCATCAGTACGAATGTTTTTGCCACAAGTAACTGTATTTGTTGCCCAAGGGACAATTAAACTACTGACCTGTGGATCGACTTCAACCCTTACAATGACATAATTAGAGTGTCAAAGATTAGTTGTCTGAGATTCTGTATAGGAAACACCAATTGAAAAGTGCTTCTTAATAATCATCACCTCTTTTCATCTCCCTCTCTTTCTTACGAGTAGGCCCATTGGAGGGCAAAACCCGCCTTATAAAGAGGACTCATTTGAGGACAAAACCCGCCTTATACAAAACCTGCCTTATAAAGAGGACTCATTGGAGGACAAAACCAGTCTTTTAAAGAACCCATTGGAGGGCAAAACCAGTCTTATAAAGAGGACTCATTGGAGGGCAAAACCCGCCTTATAAAGAGGACTCATTGGAGGACAAAACCCGCCTTATAAAGAACCCATTGGAGGGCAAAACCCGCCTTATAAAGAACCCATTGGAGGGCAAAACCTGCCTTATAAAGAGGACTCATTGGAGGACAAAACCAGTCTTATAAAGAGGACTCATTGGAGGGCAAAACCGGCCTTATAAAGAATTTATTGGAGGGCAAAACCTGCCTTATAAAGAGGACTCGTTGGAGGACAAAACCAGTCTTACAAATAGGTATTGTACCCATGTGGGGGATCATTTTTACTAAATAAACAATGTCTGTTAGAAAGGGCACTAGTCCTATAGTCCCTACCAATCTTCCCAATAGTTAAGGTATCCGAAGGACAAGAAGACATTTGCCCTTTTCAAAGATTTGCTGTATGTTATCATCATAAGGACTGGTTTCTATTGCTGAAAGTACTAGGTATTCTTATGGAAAGATGATCTCAGGAACTCCTCTCAACTCAAAATTATACCCTAGATCTACACCTAAATCTTATTGATCTTAGGGCAACAAGATGTCCTCATTACCTCTCTTGATTGGCTGTTGGCGTGGACATCTTGGCAACAGTTGTGGACATCGACTTGTTGGAATCAACCACCTCTGCAAAATAAAACAACAATTCTTGAATAGGTGATTGAATATCGTTTTCTGCATCCTTAGCAGGGACACCAGAAATGGCCTTCACATATCGTACTGATGTGAAGAATTGAACCTCGGCCTTCAGAAAACAAGGAATAATATCTGAGACAATCAGATTAAATATCCTTATACATGTACTCCATGCTTGTAAGAGACGACAAACGGGATCGGGTGGTCAGGCTCGCTGACGTTGTTGATGCATATCATCATATCCCAATTGCGTGGATTGATGCTCATGATGCCAATCACTTGATTGTCTGGTCTAGACGCAATTATTAACAGACCGCCGTCATATAGCTGGAATATTGCTGAGTGCAGCGTTAACCAACAAACAAACAGTAAAGCAACTTCCATAGTGATTTCAGATATAGGGGAGAAACCCATCACCACAGACAAAACAAAGGATCATAATCAAGAAGACATTTGAATCCACAATAATCAGCGCCAGGAGCTACTCAATAAAGTGCACCCTATTTCGGTCTTGTTGTGTGATTTTGTTTGTTTGCTGTTTAATGCAGCACTCAGCAATATTCCAGCTATATGACGTCAGTCTGGAAATAATCAAATCTGGATGCGACAATCCAGTGATTGACATCACGAACATTGATATGTACGCATATTGGGACATGCATCAACTAAGTTAGTGGGTCTGACCACCCAATCCTGGTAATAGCCTATACGAAAAACATGGGTTGCTGAAGATCTTTGCTAACTTGGACCTTCACAGGGTGCCTTGTATGAGAAAAATATAGATACCTAGAGCTCTTTCCGATACCCATAGATGTTAACACAGAAAAAGATGACAAATGAAAAACTCAAATATGCATAAAAACTAAACTAGATATCAACCGAGGTTGACAAAGCAGAGCTTACTTTCTCCCTCTGACTCGAGCTGCCCCACAAATGTGTCCACATCCTTCTTCTTGGTGCTCAGCTTGAGAGCCTTGCTTGGACCGGATGGTTTGCTGGAGGATAGAACAGGGACAGGTTACTACCACTACATGACAAAAATCAACGGCATCATCACCACCAGGAAATTAACTGACATAACTTTCAAATTAAGCTCTACTACCCTAAAGAGACAAAATTGAAAAATAGAGAAAGTTATACTACCTTTGGATATGGAAATCAGGGTAAAAAAGCACCTTGTCTTGGGGCAAATAACACGTTAAAAGTTACTTGCATGTGTGTCTAATAACGCATGTCCAGAAATATTTCATTCTCAGGATATACGTCTTGAAATCATATGTAGCTTCAAGTCAAATTTAAATTCATCCAATTCTCATCAAGCTTTAGACCATAAACATTGTTTACACAGACTTGACAACATCATAACAATTAAAATTTTAATTTGTTTGTTCATTTGTTGTTTAATGCCATACTCAGCAGTCTGTAAATAATCAAGTCTGGGCCAGACAATCCAATGATTGACATCATGAGCATCAATCCACGCAATTGGGATACGATGACATGCATCAAGTCAGCGAGCCTGACCACCTGATCCCATTTGTCGTCTCTTACGACAAGCATAGTCGCCCTTTTATGGTAAGCATGGGTTGCTGAAGACCAATTCTTCCACAGATCTTCATGGGTCAGTTAAAACTAGTGAATGGTCAATGAACATGTCGAATCACAATTTATTCTAAGAAAACACCCATTTTAGTTTACTTAACTATAAACTTCAAACAACCCTGGCATTGTATTTCCACACCCTATCAATCACCACCTATTATGAGGAAGTTGACCAGGTTATCTCCCCTTTAACATAATTACTGTTGCTGGTTTGCTGGACAAAGACACTGAGTTACAGACTGACCTTGGCTGGGAGTATGATGATTTGACAGGTTCTACAGGCATCGGATCAAATACTGTGTTGTCTGATCTGTACGAACTGCTGCCGAATCCTCCGGAGCTACCGAAGCCTGAACGAGAGCCCTTGGCCATGTCTCGCTGCCTCTGTTGTATCTCCTTGGCCTTCTTCCTCATCTGGTCCCTAGCTTCACGCTCTTGGGTCTGAAACATAAGTTGGTCAGATCTTAGGAATAACCCACCTTCGGACAAAAGTTTAATTTGTCAAAAATTTAAGGAGATAGTTAGTGAGTGAGTTAGTGTGGTTTAACATCGCTTTTAGCAATATTTCAGAAGTATCACGGCTGGGGACACCAGAAATGGGCTTCACACATTGTACCCATGTCGGGAATCGAACCCGGGTCTTTGACGTGAAGAGCAAACGCTTTAACCACTTGGCTACCCGACAGCTGCGAGATAGTTAGTGAGTGTTATGTTATGTTATTTCTGCAATATTTTAGGCTTACGTAATCAATCAAGTCTGGACTATGCATACAGATGGTCAATAGAATGAGCAAAATCTGAGTCAGTGGGGCACCGAGACACTATCACCATACCACATTTTAACCACCATATTTTGCTGTTGTTTGTTTGATTGTTTGTTGTTTAACGCCACACCCAACAATATTCCAGCTATATGAGGGCGGTCTGTAAATAATTGAGTCTGGACCAGACAATCCAGTGATTGATATCATGAGCATCGATCCATGCAATTGGCATCGATGACATGCATCAACCAAGTCAGCAAGCCCGACCACCCAATCCTGTAAGTCGCCTCTTACGACAAGCATAGTCGCCTTTTACGACTGCATGGATTGCTGAAGACCTATTCTACCCCGGATCTTCAGAGGTATATTGCTCTGTAGTTACTCTAGTTCTTCGGAGGCTTCGGCCCTCGTCAAGTGAAGGTGATCAGGGGAGACAACCAACCTGTCTGACAGCCTGGAACACCTTCTCCTCATGGGAGTCCATCTCTGTGAATGTGCGTATTTGAGCAAGGTTGACATTCTCTCTGTAGCCCAGGGCAACAATCTCGTCAAAGGCAAAAATAAGTGAGAATGACTGGTCCACTATTTCTGACTCCTCCATGTTGCGACAGTACTCTGGTATCTAAAGGAAAAGAACATAACTTTAACAGTGGGTGACACAGGACATGGAACTGGGGACATTTGGATCGGAGCAACTGATATTTTACATGACGTGAGTGAGTGTGTTTAGCTTTACATCACTTGATACATCAATTCAGTCATATCATAGCATTTCAGTTGTGTTATGGCATGTCAGCTTCATGTTGGAGGAAAGCCTGTTGTGATGCAGGTCTTAGAAGTTTACCACTCTGGTAAAACAGTGAACACAGGAAAGGTGCTGACGAACATAGGAACATAATCAGGTCGAATCTGTGATTTGAAAACTTGAAAAGAAATTTAATTTAAAAAAAAAATCATCACTGTTTATAATAGGGGTGTTACAATAAAGGTACCTCATGATACGATATGTATCTCGATTTTGAGGTCAAGATACAATACGCATCTCAATACAGCAATATCGACCTTTTATGCGTAAATTTAGAAGCAAACTTTTTAATTACATATCACATTCTCAAATATGTGTTCTAATCACTATCAGTACATGAAGTAAATTATTTTGTTTGATAATAATACTTAGAAAAGTTGATTCTGTTTATTCAAACAAATGTCAGATACTAACAAGTTTTCGTATGTGTCAAAGTCAGATAATATGATGACATTTCGATCTGAAAAGAAAAATCAATCGATACGCGAACAAATGGATACCGCTTTCAATAAAACTTTATATCGATATAAATTTACATGTATCTCGTATCGTGAGTGAGTGAGTTGTGTTTTACGCCACTTTTAACAGTATTCCAGTCATATCACAGCGTGTCAGCTTAATGTGGGAGGAAAGCCTGAAGTGATGCAGGTCTCAGACGTTTACCACTTTGGTGAAACCCACGAGCACGGGTATGGTGCTGACAAACCTAGAAACATAATCGTGGCGAACCGGGATTCGAACCCACAATCATAGGTTTCTTGGGTGCCCAAGGGACGCAACTCTGCACAGCGAACTGCGGCGCCTTAGACCACTGGGCCACCCTTGCCCCCTCATATCGTGAGAATTATCTAAGGATGCATCAGTACAATCGGTGAATCGTGACATCCCTAGTTTATAATGACGCTTATGATCCTACCACTTTAGCAAAGAGACGAAGAGTCTCCAGATCCTCCAGGATGTTGCTGGCCTTGGTGGTGATGAGCAGCATGTACAGCTTCTCTAGTGGCTGGTACACGTATCTCACGCTCTCCGTCTCAACAAATGTGTGCTGCTTGCCGGTGTTCATCAACTTGGGGAAAGCAGCCAGCAAACCCTCAATCCTTGATCGAGTCATCTCCACAAACTGTCGGGATATTATGGCTGTTGGGAAAAGAGCACATGGAATGAGGACAATGCCTCAAGAGAAACAGAAAATGACAACGCTACAGATATTATTCTGGTGAAACGTAACTGCAGCCCTAATCATGCTAATGCACATATTGGTTTGTCTTGATTATTAACTTGACAGATCACAAGAGTGATCGATGGGGTTCAAACATTCCTTCACACACTTCACTGCGGTCAATCTATTATGTGGTATGGACATATCAATGCACTGCGGTATTTTAATTTAAAACAAGACAAAAAGTGAGCAGGACTTACTGATACCCCCAGCTTCGACTCCAACATATTTTTAAGTTCAAAACATGAAAAAGCATTTCTCAGAAAAGCTGCTTATCGAAATCAAACTTTGAACTGCACCTCTCCAATTGGTGTAGAAACTGTACCCCCAATTGGAAAAGAATCCATGAAGCAGTTTTAAAGTTGCACAAAAGAAAAAAAGAAAGAAAAATATTAAAAGTATAAAAATTCTAAAAATGAAAAGATTTTTTTTTCAGAAAATACATGTCACTATCAGTATTGAAACTTCCCTAAAAGTATCTGTCACATAGTTTTCTAGTTACAGGTCGACGATTGTGTAAGTATAAAGATTCTAAGTGAAAACAGCTGTATTTTTTCGGAAAATCCAAATATTGAAATCAAAGACTGCACTGCACTGCACCTCTCCTATACAGAGCTCCAGATAAGCTGCGTATCTGCGTAAAATACGCATCAGAAATGCAGAAATATGCAGTAAAAAACAATCCAAGCGTATCAAATTCGCAACGAACATTACAGATAAGCTACAAAAATAAAACTTGTGCGTATCATCAAAATATTGTGAAGTAACCCTGCGTATTCGATTAGCAAATCAGCAACTTATTTTGAAATCAAAAACGGGCATTCCGTCAACCTTGCCAAACTCAACGATGACAGTTACATCACGATCATTTGCCATCAAACTTTTTCGAACCCACATGGCACCAGTTTGCAGGGACTAGATGAATAGTGTTTTTAAATATTTAACTTAAATACCCACATGTGTAAAAGCTAGTGGGTAACAGAAATTTGAATACCCAGATAGAATTACTGATACCCAATGATTTTAAAATGCATGGGTAAAATACCACCAACACCAAAAGCTTATCTGAGCTCTGCCTATAGGTATAAAAAGTGTTCACCAAGTTTGAATAGAATCTATGCAGTAGTTTTCAAGTTATAGGTCCTTGGAAGGACAGATGGACAGAATTTCTTGGGATGACTCCATACCCCAGCCCCTTCAGGTCGGGGGTATCATAAAGAAACAGTCATTGTCATAGCCCTTAGGTCATAAATCAAGTTTTAGAAAGTCCCTAAATTCAGAAAGGCTCAAAGATCCACAAGTATAGGTTCCCAAATGCGCTCAAAAAGAATCTTGCTATCGTGCAGGCCCCTTCTTCCCGAGGCAAGGGAGTTAACCGACTGTAAAAGTCAAGTTTCCACCCTTGCTGAACTAGGCTGGAATTTCTGGGCTTGATCTTAGTGTCACAAGTGGCTCTTACGAGTAATGTCCCTTCTATTTCCCTCATATTGAACAATCAGATTCCACTTCTCATACCACTTGCATTTGCTTCAAACAAAATGGTGGCACCAAGTAAAAACGATCTGATCATGCTGATAGATGATCAAGATCTCTATTGTAAAATAACGGGTCTTACTTTGCGAAGTGCATCAAATCATGTGAGCTAAAAAAGATCTCCATAATTCCAGGGTAGTTCTAGAAGGGTGGAAACTGGACTTTTATAATCAATTAACTCCCTTGCCTTGGGAATGGGAAGATGAGCCACTCTAAGCAGTGTTGCATCACTTGGGTGAGTAGGTGAGTTGGGTTTAATGCCGCTTTCAACAGTATTCCAGTTATATCACGACGTGTCAGCTTAACATGCTTAATGTGGGAGGAAAGCCCGTAGTGACGCAGGTCTCGGACGTTTACCACTTTGGTGTAACCCACGAGCACTGGTATGGTGCTGACAAACCTTGAAACATAATCGGGGCGAACCATGATTCAAACCCACAATCATAGGTTTCTGGCGTGCCCAAGGGATGCAACTCTGCACATCAAATCGCGGCCCCTTAGACGACTGGGCAAACCAATGCCCAGTGCATCACTTGAACATCATGAGACATCACCAAAGATTTCAGAGAAAGCAGTCTCTTATTCTTTACTGTTTGTATTTTCACTGCCACACTGAATAAAGTTCAAGTTTTTCACTGAAACAAATCCAATCTCCAAGCAGAGCCAAAACATTATGTGGTATCAAGGTGCCAGTAATTATGTTGCCATAATCATGAAAAGATCCGTATTACTCTATTACTTAAAACTTAAAAATAAAACCATTCTGTCTATGCAGTATCTGAGTGAAATCAACACCAATAAGGCTAGAATCTGTTGAAAAATGGTAAATAAAAAGGGACAAAAATATTTGCATTTTCTTAATAGTTATTCTCGATTCGAGTACATCTCATTGTATTTCGATGAGTGAGTGAGTATAGTTTTACGCTGCTTTTAGGAATATTCCAGCAATATTACGGCGGGTAACACCAGAAATTGGCTTCACATATCTGTACCCATGTAGGGAATCGAACCCAGGTCATCGGCAGCATAGGCTACCCACCACCCCTCATTGCCTTTCAAATAAATGTGTGTCATAAGGGCTACTAGTGGTTGATGCATATAATCATCGTATCCCATTCCCAATTGCATAGGTCGTTGCCCATGATTTCAATCACTGGATTGTCTGATCCAGACTTGATTATTTACAACCTGCCATCATGTAGCCCGAATACTGCTGAACTACAAACCAAATCAAACCAAGTAAATGTGACATGGAAATACATACCTTTCCCTGCCTTATTGCACACAGCGGCAGCCAACAGAACCTGAAAAAAGCAATGAAACATATATCCATGGTCATGTGGTGAAGTGTTGCTTTATTTGATTAAAAACCCAGCTTAGGTTCAAATGTGTGAATTTAACGCCGCTTTGAACAGTATTCCAGTTTTATCCTGATGTAAGCTTAATGTTGGAGGAAAGCCCGAAGTGATGCTGGGCTCATAAGTTTACCACTTCGATCAAACTCCTGATCACCGGCCACGGCTTAGGTTCAAACTGGCAATGGGAGTTTGATCCTCAGAGCAGTGCTAATTGAAATCTGAAACATTGTACCCAATAAAGTCCAGTTGTCAGTTTTGATTGTCATCTAATGATACATAAATTCTATAACAAAATTACCACAGTTAACATAAACTCAAAAACTCTACAATCATCTCCATCATGAATCTTAGAAGCAAATCGAAAAAGTCAATATGTCAGTTGGATACATGTCTTCCTGTTTTGATGGCAAAGAATGTGAAGAAACAGAAAGTCTGTTGTAGTGTATCAAATAAATGATCAAATAAATGAACTCAATTAAACAATTTTCTCACTTAGCACAGATTATTTACTAGCATGTGGCAATCGTCCTGCTATTTTGATGACATGTCAAGAACAATTGCAAGATAACTGGTAAATAATAATTCTAATTGTCATCAGAAAACAACCCATAATGTGTGACATTTACCCATGTCATTAGACACAAAAGCTTCCTGAAAGTATACTTACCATGGTTGTGATGCACAAAATATATACTCCTCTATGTAAAGTTGTCTTAACAATCTACCATGTACACGAAGTTGTGGTCTATGTTCCACAGAGGCACTTCCAAGATGGTGGTGGCCACGTCGTTAGAGATGTATTATTACGCTACCTATAAACAACCACTGCATATATTTCGTAATTCATGAAAAATTAATAAATGCAAGAGTTAATATTTTACATTAATTTACTAAGCGTTGCATCAATAAAAGATAAATCTAATTTGGACATTCTGTGGAACTATTTTTGTTTGCGTTACGATAGCCACGTCACATAGCCGGAAGTACACGGCGGTGCTATTATTACATGTCAGAAAAATGCCTGAGCGAAATAACAGAATGTGAAAGTGACAATATATACTATGTATATTTTGAATTAACAGAAATATAAAATTACTACAATATAAGTCATTCTGAAAGTTTTTATTTTAGACCAATCAAATACTATTACATCTTTTGTGCACATCTGTGAATGGCGGTCTCTGTTGATCTGCTACAAAGAAATCGTCAGGAGTAAAGACGTTATCGTAGATTGCTCTGATCAGCTTAGAAGTCACTTTAATTCACCAATAATCCACATATCGTCAGTTTGGGAAATAGTTCGGTAAGATGAACGATTTATATCCTCTTTATGAATTACGCATATGATTTTAATAAATTTGACACTGACAGGTGTTTGTCTGACAGTGTTGAATCGGTTAAAGGAGTGTTCAATGAGTGTTGACATTAGACACCATTGCTCTGACTGACTTTCTAACAAAAGATTATACAATGCCAATGAGATCATTGTGAGAGAAGTATAATAATTGTACAAAGGTGAATTTTTTAATCAATTATTTGTTAGTGAACAGCTGATTTGAACCGTCAACGTTACCGATACGAGTAGTTCAGCAAGATAATTATGTGTACGACTTCATTGGGGCAGCTGGATTGTATTCTAAGATTTCTTTATTTCACTTCGAATGTTAATTTGACAGTCAATAGATCACCAAAGGGCCACACTGCTGTTTTGAACTGGTATGCAGCGTTTGAAATTGGTACTAGTCCTGTAGCATGTAGCCCTTGCCAAACTGCCCAATAGTTAAGGTATCATAAGGACTAGTAGAAATTTGCCCTATGTTATCATTATGAGGACTAGTGGACTAAAACTGTTAGTTTCTTTCACTGGTATGTGTCTCATATATGACAGAGCAACCTTGAAGCACTAGTGCTTAGCTGGCAGGGTTGTTGTGAAATTGTACCCTAGCACAGTATGGGCTACAAGAGGTGACTCCTGCAGTGACATGGCGCTCTGGTCACACCCACTTGTGTGTAGTTATGGTACATTGAATGTGAAAGGTTGATTACATTAGATATTAAAATGTTGGTGTCCAAAAGAAACAAATAAAAATGCAGTTTCAACCCTTCAATAAGAAAAGGTTTTATTTTTTTAGCTTGTATTCATTCATCACATGTTGTATATCGTTGTAATACTTCCAAATAAGACACATAATTGCATAATCATCAATCTGATTTAAAGTAAGTACGTGCAAAACAGGATAATAGTTCCATGAATATCATTCAAGAATTCTGTTCATAATGGAAATGATTAAATAGATATGAATCGGTAAGACGAGTAAGGGGTTATAAAATCAATCCGTGACATCCCTAGTGTTATTCACCGTATTATGTACTCCTTGGGGAATTAGCATAACACAGATAGTGATCACATGATAATTAATTGATGCCCTAATTAAAGCTTCGCTCCCTAATGAGGATGGTGAAAGTTCTCTTGTGTGGGGGAATAGGATCAGTGAGTGAATATCTTGTGTTTAGTTTTATATCTGCAAATATATTCATATTACTGAATGTCATTTTGAAGAAATGTTAATGCCATGTGATAGTAATAAGACATACACTTTCATTATTGTAATCACAATTTTGTAATCCTGTGATGGGACCAACAATTAGTGTTCAGTTGTTTAGTTTTCTGATGATAGAAAATGATCTTCTACAGTTTGAGCCTCCTGTCATGAGCATCAGCTGGTATCAACCCTGTACATGTTTCAGTTTCTGCATCTTTCAGCTTTGCTTTTTGGCCCAGAACATGACAGAAAGTCAGCCTGGCCCAATTATCAGATATTGCCAAACATTCCACAGAAAGGCACTTACGCCTGCTTATGACACAACACCATTGTCTCTTTCAGTTATATGTTGCATTGTCATGAATGTCGGTTAGAGGGTAGGAGATGGCTGGTGGTGGGAGGGTCAGTTAGAGGGTAGGGGATGGCTGGTGGTGGGAATGTCAGTTAGGGGGTTGGGGGATGGCTGGTGGTGGGAATGTCAGTTAGGGGGTGGGGGATGGCTGGTGGTGGGAATGTCAGTTAGGGGGTGGGGGATGGCTGGTGGTGGGAATGTCAGTTAGGGGGTGGGGGATGGCTGGTGGTGGGAATGTCAGTTAGGGGGTTGGGGGATGGCTGGTGGTGGGAATGTCAGTTAGGGGGTGGGGGATGGCTGGTGGTGGGAATGTCAGTTAGAGGGTAGGGGATGGCTGGTGGTGGGAGGGTCAGTTAGGGGGTTGGGGGATGGCTGGTGGTGGGAGGGTCAGTTAGGGGGTTGGGGGATGGCTGGTGGTGGGAATGTCAGTTAGGGGGTGGGGGATGGCTGGTGGTGGGAGGGTCAGTTAGAGGGTAGGGGATGGCTGGTGGTGGGAATGTCAGTTAGGGGGTAGGGGATGGCTGGTGGTGGGAATGTCAGTTAGGGGGTGGGGGATGGCTTGTGGTGGGAATGTCAGTTAGGGGGCTGGGGGATGGCTGGTGGTGGGAATGTCAGTTAGGGGGTTGGGGGATGGCTGGTGGTGGGAATGTCAGTTAGGGGTTGGGGGATGGCTGGTGGTGGGAATGTCAGTTAGGGGGTTGGGGGATGGCTGGTGGTGGGAATGTCAGTTAGGGGGTAGGGGGACGGCTGGTGGTGGGAATGTCAGTTAGAGGTTTGGGGGATGGCTGGTGGTGGGAATGTCAGTTAGGGGTTGGGGGATGGCTGGTGGTGGGAATGTCAGTTAGGGGGTGGGGGATGGCTGGTGGTGGGAATGTCAGTTAGGGGGTGGGGGATGGCTGGTGGTGGGAATGTCAGTTAGGGGTTGGGGGATGGCTGGTGGTGGGAATGTCAGTTAGAGGTTTGGGGATGGCTGGTGGTGGGAATGTCAGTTAGGGGGTTGGGGGATGGCTGGTGGTGGGAATGTCAGTTAGGGGTTGGGGGATGGCTGGTGGTGGGAATGTCAGTTAGGGGGTAGGAGATGGCTGGTGGTGGGAATGTCAGTTAGGGGGTTGGGGGATGGCTGGTGGTGGGAATGTCAGTTAGGGGGTTGGGGGATGGCTGGTGGTGGGAATGTCAGTTAGGGGGTTGGGGGATGGCTGGTGGTGGGAATGTCAGTTAGGGGGTTGGGGGATGGCTGGTGGTGGGAATGTCAGTTAGAGGTTTGGGGATGGCTGGTGGTGGGAATGTCAGTTAGGGGGTTGGGGGATGGCTGGTGGTGGGAATGTCAGTTAGGGGGTTGGGGGATGGCTGGTGGTGGGAATGTCAGTTAGGGGTTGGGGGATGGCTGGTGGTGGGAATGTCAGTTAGGGGTTGGGGGATGGCTGGTGGTGGGAATGTCAGTTAGGGGGTTGGGGGTGGCTGGTGGTGGGAATGTCAGTTAGGGGTTGGGGGATGGCTGGTGGTGGGAATGTCAGTTAGGGGGTTTGGGGATGGCTGGTGGTGGGAATGTCAGTTAGGGGGTTGGGGGATGGCTGGTGGTGGGAATGTCGGTTAGGGGGTTGGGGGATGGCTGGTGGTGGGAATGTCAGTTAGGGGGTTGGGGGATGGCTGGTGGTGGGAATGTCGGTTAGGGGGTTGGGAGATGGCTGGTGGTAGGAATGTCAGTTAGGGGGTTGGGGGATGGCTGGTGGTAGGAATGTCAGTTAGGGGGTGGGGGATGGCTTGTGGTGGGAATGTCAGTTAGGGGGCTGGGGGATGGCTGGTGGTGGGAATGTCAGTTAGGGGGTTGGGGGATGGCTGGTGGTGGGAATGTCAGTTAGGGGTTGGGGGATGGCTGGTGGTGGGAATGTCAGTTAGGGGTAGGGGATGGCTGGTGGTGGGAATGTCAGTTAGAGGTTTGGGGATGGCTGGTGGTGGGAATGTCAGTTAGGGGGTTGGGGGATGGCTGGTGGTGGGAATGTCAGTTAGGGGGTTGGGGGATGGCTGGTGGTGGGAATGTCAGTTAGGGGTTGGGGGGTGGCTGGTGGTGGGAATGTCAGTTAGGGGGTTGGGGGATGGCTGGTGGTGGGAATGTCAGTTAGGGGGTAGGGGGACGGCTGGTGGTGGGAATGTCAGTTAGAGGTTTGGGGGATGGCTGGTGGTGGGAATGTCAGTTAGAGGTTTGGGGATGGCTGGTGGTGGGAATGTCAGTTAGGGGGTTGGGGGATGGCTGGTGGTGGGAATGTCAGTTAGGGGGTTGGGGGATGGCTGGTGGTGGGAATGTCAGTTAGGGGGTTGGGGGATGGCTGGTGGTGGGAATGTCGGTTAGGGGGTTGGGAGATGGCTGGTGGTAGGAATGTCAGTTAGGGGGTTGGGGGATGGCTGGTGGTAGGAATGTCAGTTAGGGGGTTGGGGGATGGCTGGTGGTGGGAGGGTCAGTTAGGGGTTGGGGGATGGCTGGTGGTGGGAATGTCAGTTAGGGGTTGGGGGATGGCTGGTGGTGGGAATGTCAGTTAGGGGTTGGGGGATGGCTGGTGGTGGGAATGTCAGTTAGGGGGTTGGGGGGTGGCTGGTGGTGGGAATGTCAGTTAGGGGTTGGGGGATGGCTGGTGGTGGGAATGTCAGTTAGGGGGTTGGGGGATGGCTGGTGGTGGGAATGTCAGTTAGGGGGTTGGGGGATGGCTGGTGGTGGGAATGTCAGTTAGGGGGTTGGGGGATGGCTGGTGGTGGGAATGTCAGGGGCTGATCATTTACAAGGGGTGAGGTTTTTTTTTACTATCATAGTTTGCGACACACACACACACACACACACACACACACACACACACACACACACACACACACACACACACCATTTTATGTAACATTTTTTCATGGATCCCCAAATACATGTAACATACATCATATTTGAAGTAATATAACTGTCACTTTGTCATGCCCCTCCCCTCTTACATGTCTTATGCCCCCCTCCCCCCTCCCCCTTAAAGTTCGTAAAATCATGACAATGTTAGATTGCCATTTGTCTCATGCAAAGTCACTGGTCATCATTGTCATCCAGTGTTAAAAAATATTTTCATGACCTTAACTTTAAAAGTTTACATAATAATGATATGATTCAGGCAGATCTTGGATTCAATCTATGGCAGCAAACCCAAAGAGCCCCAAAATTGTATTTATTTTCATGACTATGTAGGATTTTTATCCCCTGAAAGCACCCGACATCCACGGAGTACATGCTGAAGGGCAAGGGGGTATGCAGATACTGTAATGTAGGTCACAAGGGTTGAAGTCAGGGATTATCTAGTATTTCTAACCCAGTGCCCTTGGCTTGCAAATTGGGAAAAGACTGTTATTTTGTTTAAAATTGGGATTTCTTATTTCCTTAACATGAGTAAATTCAAATGTTTCAAGATTTCTTTCTGTGAAAATACAACACAAAGAGTTAAGCCTCGTCCTCTGTTTGGGACCTGGGGTAGCCTCATGGCTAAAGTGTTGGCTTATCATGCCAGAGGCTTGGGATGGCTTCCCAACATACACTGTGGTACAAATGGGTACAATGTGTGACCACCACCTTGGTACTGATGGAATATTGCTAAACTCCAACTCCCTCCCTCAACTGGGTTATCAGTGAAGTACATGTCACAACTACTGTTATGATCCGGGGTAGAATAGGTCTTCAGCAACCCTGCTTGCCCTAAAAGGTGACTATGCTTGTCGTAAGAGGCGACTAACTGGATCGGGTGGTTGGGCTTGCAGACTTGGTTGATGCATGTCATTGTTTCCCATTTGTGCAGAGCGATGCTAATGAAGTCAATCATTGGAGTGTCTGGTCCAGACTCTATTATTTACAGACTGCTGTTATGTGGCTGGCATATTGCTGAGTGCTGCATTAAACAACAAACAAGCAAGCACAAGTTCAAAGCCACAGCATTCTTATAACATGATTTGGGAAGTTTATAATTCCAACTTGTGCATTTGTACTGACATTTGCTGCAGACTTGCTGCTGATTGTAGGCCTCTGAGCAGGTGTAATCCTTGTGTAAGTCATTGCCAGGAACATACTTTCATTTATTTGCACTGTATAAATCACTGTGTTTCATGCACCAAGTTAAGTATGCTGTTTTCTTGTCTTTACAGATGTTGACTACTGCTGGAGAGATGCCCATGTGAGGTGGCTGCTCTGTCCAGGTAGGCCTCACATGTCACCATGGTTATCTACCTTGTATTGGTTGCTTCAAGTTCATGCCATGGCAGTATGGCTGCCGTGGTCTATTTATAATAGTTCTGTGAAAAGTCTTAGGGACATGGGTAATTGTATTAAAAAATTCATGCATTTTTGATTTTGTCTACAATTGTCTGTGACAATTCGTTTTTGGTATATGTATTTTACACATTCCAAATCTGTTGTTCAGTTTTGTTTTTAACAAAACCCCTGAATTCATCCAATGTGTTAGAAAATGTCACAATAATGACAGAGAGGCCCTGAGTAGTCTACTGTGCTTATTCCACGGGGGTCCAGCAGTGTTTATGAAGTCAGTAGGGGAGGTAACTGCATATGAGGCAAAACAATAGTGAAAAACGTAAAAGTGGAACTAGTGAGCGAATAATGCAATCGAACAAGTACTTCTTTTTCTTTCTAAATGTGTCTGTGTACATATAACATTCAGAATCACTTTTTTTCTACTTAATAATAGTAATAGTATTCTGAAATGTTGGTGGGACTTACAGGCAATTGAAATATGGCCTTATGGGTAACTGAATAGAAAGTACATGCATAACATGTTACATTTGGTCTAGTACTTCTTACAATTCCTGATATTTCCTGAGTTGACAGACATGCATGACATTTGTCAGAAAGCTTACTGCACTAATGAGAGGGAGACAGTGAGGCTGCCAATCCCCTTTTGGTACGTGGGATTTGGGGGAACATTTAGAGGGTATTCAGGACTCAGCAGCGTGGTACTCAGACTAATCATTCTAAAAATGCAATGGTGTATAGTTAACACATTCCTTTAATTATTTTCTATGTTTTTTTACAGTAATTTAACTTCAAATCACACTTGTGACCTTGGAATGTGTACAATAGGTTTTTGTCTGTAAGTGTAAGCCAGAATATATGTAGGTCACCCATTTAGGTTGTTTATTTATTACCTTAATTTTCCATTAACAATTTCTGTAAGTATATAATACTGATATGTATATGGCATTGTCCTTTTAGTGTACTGTATATGAGAGCAAGGAGTTTATTTGTAAATTTCAAGATAATTCATTTGAATATCTTAATTAAATATTTTTGGGAAATTGTTTTATTGTTAATATACATTGAAGGCCAAATTTTTTTCCGCCGTGTTGATGCATCGCATCAAAAGTTTTCTTGTTTCCACCTGTGCCAGAACACATGTGGACCCTCTGCCAACATAGTTATCTCCCTTGGTTCTTGAGTGGGTGCTTCAGGGGTGTTCATCCCAGAGCCTGGCATTGCTGGAACTATTTCCATTACAATGCAAGAACGTTTACCAACATGTGACAGTTAGGTTCATGGTTTCAAATACAAATTAGTTTCAGATGATAAATGTAACACAGGGGTAGATTTATCAACAAAATTTGTATGTAGCGAGTAGTGCTTGCTCCTTTTGAAAGTTACTGGCCCTTCTCCAAACTAACTGCCCTACAACTAAATGTTGCAGAGTCCGAACCTGAGGTCCCATAACCACCTCATTTTCACCAGCCAGACAGGCCTTCTGCTTTACGTTTCAGAAGGCCCTTGATAATTTTAACTGGCCATGTGCCAGTTAAATTGGATTAGCAGGACACTGAAATTATTTTTTTTCCTGCATTCTAAGATTATGTCTTGGGTTCCATTTGCCTCATTTGATAGCGATTTATGAGGAAATAAAGAAGTTGTTGTACACAACATTACAAAATGGCGGTCGGTTGTCATTCTACCAAGATGATCCAATTAAAACAATTAAACATACATGGAGAAGGGGAGAAGTTTTGACTAGCCAGACAGGCCTCCTACTTTATGTTTCAGGCCCTTGATAATTTTAACTGGTCACAGGCCAATGGGCCAGCAGTTAAATCTACCCCTCTAATATGCACTTCTGACAAAAAACATCATTCAACCTGTGATTCTCTGACAGTGAAATCTATCTTAACCAGACTCTGACTATTCCAGATCTCTGTCAATACCAGACCAAATATACTGTTGAAATTTGTTGAGTTCAGTTATCATCAACTAAAAACTGTCTAATCCGTACTTTCTTCACTCCGGATTCTAAACTTGAATTATGGGAAAAATAGAACAATAAAAGAACCAATCTATTATGTAATTTAGGCGCCAGATAAACTTTTCACTCTTAAGTGTGATTACAACATTAGTCGTGTGATTATCACACTTCCATTTGTGGACAGCCAGTCATATCTCACACTTCCATTTGTGGACAGCCAGTCATATCTCACACTTCAATTTGTGGACAGCCAGTCATATCTCACGCTTCCATTTGTGGACGGCCAGTCCTATCTCACACTTCCATTTGTGGACAGCCAGTCATATCTCACACTTCCATTTGTGGACGGCCGGTCATATCTCACACTTCCATTTGTGGAGTACCAGTCATATCTCACGCTTCCATTGGTGGAGTACCTGAGTCACATCTCACACTTCCATTTGTGGTGTACCAGTGATATCTCATACTTCCATTTGTGGTGTACCAGTCATATCTCACACTTCCATTTGTTGACAGCCAGTCATATCTCACACTTCCATTTGTGGTGTACCAGTGATATCTCATACTTCCATTTGTTGACAGCCAGTCATATCTCACACTTCCATATGTGGACAGCCAGTCATATCTCACGCTTCCATTTGTGGACAGCCAGTCATATCTCACGCTTCCATTTGTGGACGGCCAGTCCTATCTCACACTTCCATTTGTGGACAGCCAGTCATATCTCACACTTCAATTTGTGGACAGCCAGTCATATCTCACACTTCAATTTGTGGACGGCCGGTCATATCTCACGCTTCCATTTGTGGACAGCCAGTCATATCTCACGCTTCCATTTGTGGACGGCCAGTCCTATCTCACACTTCCATTTGTGGACAGCCAGTCATATCTCACACTTCAATTTGTGGACGGCCGGTCATATCTCACACTTCCATTTGTGGAGTACCAGTCATATCTCACGCTTCCATTGGTGGAGTACCTGAGTCACATCTCACACTTCCATTTGTGGTGTACCAGTGATATCTCATACTTCCATTTGTGGTGTACCAGTCATATCTCACACTTCCATTTGTTGACAGCCAGTCATATCTCACACTTCCATTTGTGGTGTACCAGTGATATCTCATACTTCCATTTGTGGACGGCCAGTCATATCTCACACTTCCATTTGTGGACGGCCAGTCATATCTCACACTTCCATTTGTTGACAGCCAGTCATATCTCACGCTTCCATTTGTGGACAGCCAGTCATATCTCACACTTCCATTTGTGGACGGCCAGTCATATCTCACTCTTCCATTTGTGGACGGCCAGTCATATCTCACACTTCCATTTGTGGACAGCCAGTCATATCTCACACTTCCATTTGTGGACGGCCAGTCATATCTCACACTTCCATTTGTGGACAGCCAGTCATATCTCACGCTTCCATTTGTGGACGGCCAGTCCTATCTCACACTTCCATTTGTGGATAGCCAGTCATATCTCACACTTCAATTTGTGGACGGCCGGTCATATCTCACACTTCCATTTGTGGAGTACCAGTCATATCTCACGCTTCCATTGGTGGAGTACCTGAGTCACATCTCACACTTCCATTTGTGGTGTACCAGTGATATCTCATACTTCCATTTGTGGTGTACCAGTCATATCTCACACTTCCATTTGTTGACAGCCAGTCATATCTCACACTTCCATTTGTGGTGTACCAGTGATATCTCATACTTCCATTTGTGGACGGCCAGTCATATCTCACACTTCCATTTGTGGACGGCCAGTCATATCTCACACTTCCATTTGTTGACAGCCAGTCATATCTCACGCTTCCATTTGTGGACGGCCAGTCATATCTCACACTTCCATTTGTGGACGGCCAGTCATATCTCACACTTCCATTTGTTGACAGCCAGTCATATCTCACGCTTCCATTTGTGGACGGCCAGTGATATCTCACACTTCCATTTGTGGACGGCCAGTCATATCTCACTCTTCCATTTGTGGACGGCCAGTCATATCTCACACTTCCATTTGTGGACGGCCAGTCATATCTCACACTTCCATTTGTGGACGGCCAGTCATATCTCACTCTTCCATTTGTGGACGGCCAGTCATATCTCACACTTCCATTTGTGGACGGCCAGTCATATCTCACACTTCCATTTGTGGTGTACCAGTGATATCTCATACTTCCATTTGTGGACGGCCAGTCATATCTCACACTTCCATTTGTGGACGGCCAGTCATATCTCACACTTCCATTTGTTGACAGCCAGTCATATCTCACGCTTCCATTTGTGGACGGCCAGTCATATCTCACACTTCCATTTGTGGACGGCCAGTCATATCTCACACTTCCATTTGTTGACAGCCAGTCATATCTCACGCTTCCATTTGTGGACGGCCAGTCATATCTCACACTTCCATTTGTGGACGGCCAGTCATATCTCACTCTTCCATTTGTGGACGGCCAGTCATATCTCACACTTCCATTTGTGGAGTACCAGTCATATCTCACACTTCCATTTGTGGTGTACCAGTGATATCTCACACTTCCATTGGTGGAGTACCAGTCATATCTCACACTTCCATTGGTGGAGTACCAGTCATATCTCACACTTCCATTGGTGGTGTACCAGTCATATCTCACACTTCCATTGGTGGCAGCCAGTCGTATCTCACACTTCCATTTGTTGACAACCAGTCATATCTCACACTTCCATTTGTGGACAGCCAGTCATATCTCACGCTTTCATTTGTGGACGGCCAGTCATATCTCACACTTCCATTTGTTGCCGGCCAGTCATATCTCACACTTCCATTTGTGGACGGCCAGTCATATCTCACACTTCCATTTGTGGAATACCAGTCATATCTCACATTTCCATTTGTGGAGTACCTGAGTCATATCTCACTCACCCTCACTCACTCACCCTCACTCACACATCCTTTAAAATTTTT